GGCCCGTCTGCGTCCAGGATGGAGGAGAGGTCTTGGTCGGTACACAACCTGTCTCTTATACACATCTAGATGTGTATAAGAGACAGGTGTGTGTGTGTGTGTGTGTGTGTGTGTGTGTGTGTTTGCATATGATCCCACGACGAACTTCGTCACGCACTCCACCATTACGGTGATACGCCAGGTACAGTCATGTCCCAATCATACTGTGTCCAACAGCTACCAAGCCAGATAGCACTCAATAATGCAGGAATGACGAAGCGGTATCATCCACAGGTACTGAACACGCATTCATAGAAAAGATTATGTACACAAATCCAATCCGGAAAAGTAAAGAAGGCAAAGCATATGAATCTATATACACATAAATATATATATACATATATATATACACATCCATAGAAATGTACATATGCATATATATATGTGTGTATATATATATATATATGTGTGTATATATATATATGGGATATATATATATATATATATATAGAGGGGGAGAGAGTTAATGACGGAGGCAACAAGCCATTTCAACACACCAATAATAAGCAAGGACTGAGAGAGCGAGGGGGAGAAAGGAAAGATGCGGGAGTATTCCAGATCTTGGCGGTACAAAGCAGAGAAGAAAGAGCCAAACAGTCTATTACCAGTAACAAAGTAATCTGATATCAGAGTTTCGATTATAAAGAATTTCTAAAAAATGAGCCTAGAGTAAACTATGATAGCAACTAAAGAAGCTATATGAAGCTGGTGGGCAGCAAAGTCCGAAATGGCAGAACGTCTGGGAGAAAGCAGGCGAGGCCTCGGTTTGCACTTCATGGGATGTATGGCACCGCAGGAGGGGTGTGGCTCCCCTAAAAGCTTTTTCGTCGTTGCCACTCAACCAGCTCATCAGAGGGGTTAAAAACCTGCAAAAAGGCACATCCACTGCACAGACAAACACAGACAGCCAATCCCCAAACAACCATACGAGTAGGGAGATAGAGGACTGTGTACCGCTTCTTCTGCCTCGAAAACCTCCTCGGGTTCCGGCGTTATCGGAAGATCCTCCTCCGCTCTGGTCGTGAAGTCCCAGTCTGCCATATCCGAACAGTCACCTTGCCACGAAAGCTCCGCTTCGTAGAGGAAATACAGACAATCGTATACAAGCCAGACTAACAATGCGCATGCTAAGATTGGCAAGGTTATACGTATATATGAAACCAATAGGAGGGGAAGACAGTAGGAGAGAAGAAGGGATGGGTCAACATGGGCAATCCCGCACGGCTCCCCTTGCATGATCGATGGGATCCGAGAGGCTGAAGTTCGTCAATATCCAGTGGAACGTGGTCCTATAATCATCCACCTACATCTGGGTTCCTCCAAAAAAAACGACCCCGCGGCGGACGTATACCAGTGGTTGTGTCCTATGTGTTGTACCGAGCGGATCTTATTTCAGTGATTTGGTAAAATTGGGGAGGCTGGTGGGTTCAACCCCAAGTTTTGGGGGAAACGGACGGGTGGGTCCACGGGAAGGTGCATAAAACCGGGGCACGAAGCATAATAAGCCAAACAAAGAATCAAAGAAAATCAAGGCAAAAAATAAAAAGTAAAAACCAAAGAATCGGAAAATAAAAAAATCAAAGAATTCAAAAATCAAAAAATCAAAAAAAACAAAAAATCAAAGATTATACCGATCGGGGATCTGTTGCTTGAGGCCGAATGTGGGGCTTTCCGCTCCCTTCATCCCTCACAGCTTACCTTAACAAGGGGGTTTATTTTCCGGGAATGTCGATCCCTTCCTGAGTCCGGCTCAAACCCTGTATATGTGTGTGTGTGTGTGTG